GAGTTTCTCCAAAGGATATAGTAGAATCCCATGAAACCAAGGACAGAAAGGGAAACATAGCCAAGCCTCAAGGGAATGAGAACTAAAGCTGCTGTCCTCCTCAGGGTGGACATGGTCTCTTATCTCTGCTTCTTTTTGCATCATCTTCATCTGCTCATGCATCTGTGTCCCCTGACCAGCTCCTGTTGCTCTATTGATCTTGTACTTAGACTGAAAATCCCAAAGTGGCATTGTTATTTCTTATCCCAGCAATCATCATTAAATGATTCAGACTCTGTGTCTCTTAATTCCCTAGGACAGGAATTTGATGGGGCCGTCTCCTCCTCCTTTTTGAGCAAAACTCAAGTGATAAATCCTTAGCTAGTCAAAGAGTTGGTTTTGTATTGCAAATCTAATCAGTAGGGGTTAGGATGAGGAGAGAAGTCATAGAGTCACCTATGATGGATTTTCTTAAGACGTATACATAGAAGAAAATGACCATAGTCCAAGTTCTACACCATCTCATAGCAAGCATTCCCCAGTATCCCTTCCAGATCTTGGGGCTGTATAGTTGCTTCCCATTGATCACAGCTCCCTCTGGCAGAACCACCTCAACAATGGATGATGTAATCTGTTGGTGATAAACTCTGTCCTTTGGTCTTGGGTTTGTAGTCTTGAGTTTCTCTACAGGTCCCTGTTTGATATGTAATTTCAACTACCGTGTGCATCTCACAGACCAGGGAAATCTCTAACTCTTCAAAGGACCATTAATAGAAGCTTTTGGAACTAGCCTCCTACTCCCTCCAGTTCCTATATCTTTTCTTTACAAGTTTTACATCAAATCACCAAAGCAAAAAGCAACTAATTATTGGTTCGTCAATTTGAGCTAAGGATCACACCAGTAGAGCCTTCGTATAGTGTACCCAAGTTCCCATCATATATGTACCATCTATGATATCTATCTTCCAAGACTGATAAGTCATTCAAAAAGAATTACTAGCCTAGCACCTTGATGCAAAAGCTCTTCCAACTCCCTTCTCTTTCCACTAAAACAAGCACCCTTGTAACAAACACCTAAGTATCATGAGGACACCAGAACACACCAAGCTTTCTAAGGAAACATGGCAGGATATTAAATATTTGAGTATATATAAACATATAATGAGTGTGACTTGGGAAAATACTCATTATAAAATCACAGTGAAGGATGGACATACATGAAACTTGGACTTGGGGGGGAGTGGGGGTTAAGGGCAACATACGTAACCTAAACATCTGTACCCCCATAATATGCTGAAATAAAAAAAAAAGAAAAATCACAGTGAAATGAATTGTTTAAAATTGTGTGCCACATACATAACATTATCACAGCAGTGCTAAGATGCAGAGGGAAAAAAAAGCTAAAAGAAACCAAATAATGGCTATCATTGGGTTTGGGATTATTGAGATTTGTGTTTTCTTTACAGTTTTTCTGTCTTTTCCAGATATCCTGCAATGTGAATGTATTGTTTTATAAATAGAAAGAATAAAAGGAGAGACATGCCAATTTTTAAATATCTTGACTCTTTTTAAAAGGAAGTCAGATACACCCCTACATTTATATGGAAAAATATTGCCGTATATGATTTTAGAACAGTTTTCAAATTATATAAAATAGGCATGCTGTTTATGCTGTATATTGTTTTTAATTCACAGGGGAAAAAAGCAATGTAATAGTTCTGTCTCCAAATGATAATGTGTTCCCAATTACGTGCCTTCCTGATTTTTTTCCTTAGAAAACAAAGCAAGAGCTCTGAATCACTTGTTTCCAAATAGAGTCATTTAAAAAGTTGGTTCCATACCAGTCACATAATAGATGCATTATCTTGGGTCTTTTTGTCAGAGTTTCGAAAACCTTTCTTGGAACATGCATGCGCTTTCAAATTTGCCTTTTCTTTCAAAATGTCTTCATGTATAACAGTATGAAGCTCTGTTAAAGAATTCTTAAGGAGTTTGCTTTTTCTCCTTGGCTAGAGGGAGAAACTGTTTCATTGACATGACACTGGAAAAACAAACGAGCATTTATTCTGTGAGAGGAGGATACCCTCTTTGCACGGCCTGGAGTGCGAAAATAGGAGGAACCAGGACTCAGGATAAATAAACAAGGGCCTCTCCCCTTCAGGACTGATCCCTCTTCCAGTTGCTCTGTTCACTCCATTCCTTGGCATTTAGGGAGTTAGAGGAAGAAATTGCCTTATCTCTGCTCATGCAGATGAATCAGGACTGTTCTGGACCCTGGGTGAGGAAACAGTTTGTAAGAAGAGCTGCTGTCTCCTATAGACAAGTATGTTTTTTTAAAGAAATCACTTTGCCTGTACAACTCAGGCCCTGATGATGGATGCTATGAACTCATATTATACTTTCTTTGCCCTTTAACTTCCTAACACTTCTCTATGAAATATTTTCTTTCTTCCATGATCAAATGGTTCCACCTGTAACATCCAACCCTATAAAGGGAATATTGAATAGAATGGATTTTATCTGACTCAATATTTTAAAAGATTTGTATGTTTAACAGCTTGATGAAATTTAAGTAGCCTTGAAATTGAAATCAGGAAATCTTTGTCCTTTCCTTATTCTGCTAATAATTAGTTTTGAAACTTGGTCAAGTTATTCCACCTCTCTGGATCCCAGTTTCCTCAAAGGTAAAAGAGGAGCTTGTTACTAAATATCTCTAAGCTCCTTTTCACTACAAAATTAACTGCTTTTATCGATTTCAGAAAGCATGGGCCCACAGAAAGGCCTTAAGTTATCCCTTCCATTAGAAGATTGTTGTCTGGAGAATTTGGAGGAAATATAGCATTATTGGTTTTTGAGAAAGCACAATACTCATCGCATGTCTCATGTCCTTTCCAGTGCTCAGATAAGTCATGCCTGAGGACACCTTCTCTGAAGAAGAGAGTTTCAGATGCCAACCTGGAAGGGAAAAAGGATTCCGGAATGCTAAAGTACATCAGACTTCAGGTATTGCAACTGGATCAGAAGCCTTTGTGGAACATTAATAGGGAAGGGACTCCAGACGAACTGCTTTCTAGTATTTAGGACACATAATAGTTGGCACGGTGTTGGCATAAAGCCCCTTTAATTGGAGAGCAAGAGTGCCACCCAGTGTGCAAGGAAAAAAAAATCCTTTCTTGCCAGACAGCCGGCTTCTACCGACTAGGGGAGTTTGCCACACCTCTCCCCACTCTCCCCATTGCAGTGGAGCTGATTTCCCGCCGGTGTGTGATGGCAACACTCATGTGTTTTAGAATGAGACAGTCTGGATTTGTATCCCATGTCTGCTTCTCTGGCTCTGGGGCCTTGGACAAGTTATTCAATTTTTCATGATCTTAGTTACCTTCTCTCTCAAACGGGGATTATAACACTAGACCTATCCCAAAGGTACTGCATGGATTAATAAAACAGTAAGTTAGCCTGTTTATCCAGTGCTTGACACATGATTATATTGCTCTTACAGCCTAAGCTCCAAATCATAATACCTTCCCCCACCGAAAAAATTATTTATGTTTTTCTGGAATATGTTTAAAATGATGACTTATCCAGAACCTACATTTGTCACCTAAGTTATCCGAAACAAAGGATTAAGTAGGATTTTGTGAGCTAATATGGAGCAATAACCACAAACAATGTACAGTGTGTTTCCAAGGGGAAATGCCATCCAAGTTCACACTGGCGTAGAAAACTAACTTTCTAAATGGAGTCCTTCATCAGTTAGAGACTGCTTATAGTTTTCAGTGGAGATCCGCTAGTAGAAAGGAAAATAAGATCCTTTAAAAATCCCTCAAATCTTTTTTAACATGAAGATGTATTTGCTGGGGTCATTCTTTATTAAAAGAGTTGTACTCATTCTAGAGTTTATTTCTTGGGAGGGTTGCAAAGTGGTTTTGTGGTGAAAGCATTTTAAAATTAATATGAGTTTTTTTTCTAATTATGCTTCAACTAATAAGGTATAAACCTTATCATACACCGTGCCAACTAAATATACTCTCATTTTACAAAGTACTTTAAGGTCATTTAAGAAAAGCACTGAGAGGGGCATGGCTCTTAAGTTTCAAGAGGAGTACAGTAATCTGTCTTAAGAGATTTTAAAACACGATTTCCATCTTTTCCCAGGTGATGAGCTTGTCGCCTGCTCCCTTGTCTCTGTTAATCAAGGCAGCACCAATTCTGACAGAGGAGATGTACGGAGACATCCAGCCAGCTGCCTGGGAGCTCCTGCTCAGCATGGATGAGCACATGGCAGGGGCAGCAGGTAAAGACAGACCACCTGGACCCTGCGCCTGCTGCCACTGCCATTACAGATCCAAGTGTTCAAATAAGAGAGAGAGGTTCATTCGTTCTGCTTTTGCTCCTAGGTCAGATTGATGACAATTGCTGGAACTCTAAGCAGAGCTGTGTGCTATAGGAAAATAGACCTAGGCTTTGTGTGCTCCCTTCCAATTTCACGATGTGGTTTGTACAAGATCAATATTTGTATCTCTCAGGGTGTTACCAAATTACAGAGAATGATTTTCTCCAGAACCTACATTTTCAAAAAAAATGAAATTCTTTTTGTGTGTTGATCTCCTAGATTTACCATGAACCACCATTATTAACTTTATTAAATCTTATGTGAATAGTGTTCTGTGTTCAAATTACAATATCAAAACAAATTTGTTAAAATTTTAAGTGACTTGTCTAAGGTCACATAGCTAGTCAGCGGTAGATGCAAAATGTGTGCTCTTCATTTTTTGCCACTTTTTGTACAGATCCCTTTTTTTTTCTATGGTTACTTTAATTGCAAAATGTACGTGGTAAAATTCAAATAGTACAAAAGTGTATGAAGTTAAAAGTATCACCTCTTTCCCATGATCCCCCATTCTCTTCCCCAGAGGCAACAATTTTTAAGTTTCTCAGGAATCTGCTAGGCCAGACTGTGCACATATATGTATGTAAGTATGTATGTATATATTGCATGTTTCCTTTTTCACACAAATAGGACATACTGAAAAGACTTTTGCACTTTGCATTTTTTCATTTATATCTAGAAGACTATTTTAACATCAGTTTATAGTTTTGCCTCTTTTTAATGGCTACAAAATATTCCATTGAATAAACAGATACCTTAATTTATTTAATGAACACCTATTAATGAAAATTTACGTTCATTCCAGCCTTTCACTTTTTTATACCATACTGCAACAAATATCTTTGTAAAATATCTTTGTTTGCATTAAAGCTCAGGTTTTTGCTTCTCTACCACATGCTTCTCAGAGACAGCTGTGTAAGTTCAGGGAAGGGCATGCTCCCCAAATGTGGGACAGTCATGGAAACTTCCATGAAAAATATAAATAGGTGGATTGGGCTTTAAAAACACCAAATAGTTAGCCTAGTAAGGAAAATGATGTGTGTAAAACCGTGTGGATGTGGAAATGCTTTGGGCATATTTGAAAAGCCTAAGGAGACTGCTCTGATGACCGGAGTAACTTTTGCAGAGGGGTCGCCAGAGAGGTGAGTGGGGCTCAGATTGTAACAGACCTTGAAGGACAGGCTTATGAGTGTGGACTTTCCATCAAACTATGGAAACCACTCGTGGGTTCTGAACCAAACAGTAATGTTGTATACAGAGTATGAATTATTGCCAAGTTTCATATGGCAGCAATGAGCACAATAGCTTGATTTTAGAAATAGTGATTTTGGGGGTGGGGGAGCAGGAAGGATGAAGAGAGGTTCGTTAATGGGTACAAACATGCAGTTAGAAGGAATAAGTACTAATGTTCAACAGCACAGGAGAGTGACTAAACAACAATGTATTGTATACTTCAAAGTAGCTAGAAGAGGAGACTTGAAGTGTTCCAGCACACAGAATGATAAATACTAGTAGTATGGATACCCTAAATACCCTGACTTGATCATTACACATGCTATGCATGTAA